AGCCCCCTCATAGGTAAATCACCAGGCTTTTCTTCTGAGATGTCTTAAGTGGATTCCAACCTTCAACCTTCCTGCCCTCAGTCAAGCACATTTACCTGGTCACACTGACCCAGGCACTCCCTCACTCACTCAGTCGCTGCCATCCAGGAGATCCTGACTCCTAGTGACGCTGTGGGACAGGGTGCAACTGCCCTGTGGGTTTCTGAGAGTGTAACTCTTTACAGGAGTAGAAAGTCTTGTGTACCTGCAATGGGGCAGGTGGTTTTGAACCGATGACCTTATGCTTAGCAGCCCAACTCATAGCCACTACACCACCAGGGCTCCTTTACTAGCTGCAGTAAGGCCTCCACATCCTCTGCCCTCTGCTCAAATCTCAGACTACTTCGTGCCCCACGTCGTCGCTCCCCTTTCAGTACACTTCTGTTCCTCAGCGACCTGAGCTCATGCCAGGGCTCTTGTGTCTGTGAGCCATTCTGTACTTGCCTTTCTTCTCTCTAGTCTCCATCCAGATCTCAGCTGAAATCCTACCTTCGCAGGGAGGGATGCTCACAGCACCCCTACCAAGGAGTTTCAACCCTATTCAGTCCTCCTCGTCTCACTTGGATTCAATTTTCACTCCCCATGAAAAACGCCCCTGGCCCGGCTCCATCTTGTCCCCCTAGCCCTATGTTGTCAGCACCTCAAAAAACATACCCTTTAAAAAATATTTTCATACTCATTTTAGAATTTTTTCAATGCATGGTGAGAGTAGGAGGTTGAGGCAGGGGAGGCTCAGGGATGGGGCGTGAGATGGACATGATTATAAATGAATGTTCACGTATAATCGGGTGACAGCGCCTGATGGACCAGATGTCACAACACTTGAATGGATTCCAAGCACTGTCTCACTAGGGTGCAGTCATGCACCCTGCCTTTCACAATATTGCAAAGCATGGCACTCAGCTGTTTGAACCTGTTAACCAGCTTCACCAGTTCCTTTTACTTGCCCACATCACACACGACACACCAAACAGCAGTGAAATCCAAGAGGGCAACATTAAAAGAAAAAGAGAGGGAGGAAGAAGTGAAACCCAAGGACAGGCTTCAGGGATTCTCACAAGCTGAAAGGCAAAGGCACAAAACGGCAGCCATCAATCATTGTTCCTGAACCCGCAGCAACAAGGCAGTCATTTAAACTAAGTTGAGCTGGCAGCTTTCACAGCTAGGGGCTCAGACGATGGGGCTTGCGTCAACTGTGGCCAGTATGACTGGTTTGAGAGGTATGGTAGGAGATGGAATCAGGAGGAAGTGTTGGGACATGTGGGACGTGGACACGTTTAGGGAAGACTTTCTGGACCCCTAGCTAGACTTTGGTGAGATGGGAAGCCAATTGAGGGTTCTCCACAGCGGAGTGACATAGTCTCCACTGTTTTTGTAAAAAATGATTGCTCTGGGAAGATGAAGGTGCAAACCCAGAGAGAAGAGGAGAAATGACGCTTCAGTGTGGCATTTGTGTGGGGAGGCAGTGCGATATAATCAGATTCTAGATATTTTCTGAAGGCAAAGAATTTGCTAATGGATTAAGTATGGAATGGGTGGCATGGCGGAGGGGGCTGGGGGAGACGGTCAGAAGGAGAGAGGACTCTCGGGATTTTAGCCTGGAAACTCAAGTAGACATTTCCATTGGCTGAAACGGGATATAGTGCATGAGAAGCAGGTTTGAGATCAGAATTACGGAATTTCATTTGGGGATATATTAGATTAGCATCTCTATGTGTGGTTCAAGTCAACAGCCACTCGCCACCTTGGGATATTTGCATTTTAATTATTTCTGACTCTGTGCTGAGCTGTGATGTGTGCCATAATACAATGAAAAGCAGTCACACTCCAAATATCACCAGCTTCCCCATGAAGGAACTGCAGGGCCCCTAGCCCCTCCAGAGAATACACGACAGTTCATACAACTACATTAGGACATTGTGGTTAATCGCACTGGTTATGTGGTCATGCAAACGCATGCTCCAGTCTACCCTCTGATTTGTAGTAGCCATGTGACCTGAAAGGCTACCTAGACTCTGAGTCTCCAAGTCTATAGACAAAGAGGTCAGTAGTATACATAAAACACTTGAAATACGTTATCCAGACTTTAGTGCAGGGAAAATGGCAGATAAACATATGCTATTAAAAGTGGAAAAGAGGAACAAGAGAGAAGCCTAGCATGAAGACTAAAAGGAGAAAGGTGGAAATTCAAGTTTAAAAGGAAGTCTTGCACAATAAAAAAACGTAAGGCAAGCCTCACCTAGTTTTAACCTGTCTACATCTACATATATCCATAAATGTGGTAGAGCAGATGGGGCCCAAACTATTCAAACACCTTAGACATAATCGCTGGGCCTGGTGTAACAGTCCACAAAGCCAATGTTCTACATCCAACATTGGTGATGCAACTTGGTTCTTAAATGTTTTTGAGCCACTGTTGGTCTTTTCCTAGCCAGAGAGGGCAAAGAAGGGAAATTACATTTGAAGACACCTGGAAAGAATTAGTTCAACGGCCTAATGACCCACCCCAACCTCAATCTCCACAATCCTAAAATGAGACTGTGCTACCAACTGCTCTGAAAGGAATCACATTAGAAGGGCCTGGATGGAGTGGTACAAAAATGTGGAGCAGAACTCAAAATCACACACGAAACCAGGCAGACTGGTCAGATAGAGACGATGGCTCTTAGTTATCCTTCAGGTCTAGAGCTGAACTCATCCCCATGGCTTTATTTTTAACCAAGCAAAGACAAGTCAAGAAAGAGAATAACAACACTGGTAGGTACACACACTTTAAAACAACCAGTGATTTGAGATTAGCACGGTAGCATTTACCCAAGGACAGAGCTCTGAAAAATTAAGCAAGGAAGAATGGAAACAGACAACACGAGGAGTAAATGGGATTTAGTGATGTCACATGTGGGAGTTGCAATAAATGACACAGAATGTGTATGAATTGTTAAATGGAAAATTGATCTACTCTTTAAACCATCATAAAATGTTTTGAAAAAGTGGGAAGTGGGTGACGTTAATGTTAATATTTACTTAAACAAATATACCCCCAAAATGTAACTTTTGCAAATGAAAATATATTGTTGAAAATGTACAAATGTGCTTAACACAATGAATGGATGAATGGTGGTAAGAGTTGTATGAGCCACCAATAAAATGATTTTTAAAAGAAAAAAAAATAATGAAACCTCCCCCCAAAAAACATATTGTTGAAGCACTTTAATTTTTTCCTCTCTGAAAACCAATGTGCTTCTAAAGCACATTTCAATCAGACTAGCCAAACTTCAAGTGCTGGAGAGATGCATATAGCTTGTGGCAATATACTGGATAAAACAGGTCCAGTGCTCGTCTAGCCAGTCTTTATTACTCCTACCAAAGTACCTTTTTCTTGACGTGTCTAGTAGGTAAGGGAAGAAACTTTAATTAGATTATATGATTCCAGCGGTAACTATTATGAGTTCATTGTGATTGCTATCCTACTATAAAATGAGCCATCACAGAAGCATGAAGGGGTGATTTCACTATCAGCAATGGAGATGAGCTATGAGTGGAACCTGTCTTTTGGACCCGAGATCCCTGCCCATTGATACTCTGAACCATGAGGCAGTGTTGACAACAGAGAACCAGCATTAGCAGCAGAACCAGGAGACATCATGAGGGAGAGTGGTGGGCTTCCCAGCCCACAGAGCAAGTAATGCTGAGGGACTGCAAGCAGGAGTCTGGCTTGTAGAGTGGGGTGCCTCCAGGCACTTAATTGGGAGACCCATGTCGCTAGAGCTGAGTGCCTCCAGGCTGAAGTGTGTGGCTGAATAGCGTGCCTATACAATATGGGCAGGCCTAAAGGAGCTTTGTAACATTGCTTGAGCAAAGCAGAGGCTGATGGGCAAAAATTACTCAGCACTTTTCTGGCCCTGTTCCCATTTGCTTAAAATTTCTAAAGCCCTGAGATTGTCTTGTCCTTCGAGAAAATTCTAGGATGGTTGCTGTTAGGTACTATTGAGTCAGCTTCAACCCATAGCAACTCCATGTACAACAGAACACCGCCCAGTTCACCAAACAGCAGTTGCCGTAACCTTGAGCTGACCTCTGTGCCTTGAAAGTAACTGGCCCAGCACATCCCCTCAGAGGCTAGTGGTGCGATTGGATCTTTTTTCCTTGAAGGCACCCTAACTAGACTAAGATAAACGTGTTGCTGAAAGAACTTACCTGCCACCATCTGCTGCTCAGAGAGTGATAAACACAGTTTATTGGTGTGCCCTAGAACCCCCCAGCAGAAATATCTGTTGACTTACTTTTGTACACATATGTACAAACAGGACCTATGCAGTGAGCTGCTTTACTTTACACTGATGATCACTGAGTGCCGTTCTGAAGCGAAGGGTCTCTCTTCACACTGCGGACACTGATGTCTGTGATGAGATATGCCTCAACCTCGAGAGGTGCGTCTAGTTCTTGGCAGGACATCACTAATGCTATTAAACGGATGTGTGCATACAGAACTCCTGAATAATCCTCATAAGGAAATGTATCAAAATATGATTGAGTTAGGGCTCCAGTAGAAAGCAAATATTTTGAGAATGATGGCAACAAATGTGCAAATGTGCTGGACACAATGGATGGATGGATGGGTTGTGAGAAGCGTTGTACAAGCCCCCAATGATTTTTTTTAAAAATCAGAAAAAGCAAAAATCAACAACAACAAAATATATATATATATAAAATCAATGGTTATTTGGCTTTTGTTCTCATTTTTAAATTATAGTTTAAATAGTTAGTTTTCAATTAGGACAGTCTTGCCAGAAAGTGAAGGTTCCCGAGAATGAAAAGTTCAGTGTCAACCAGTTCCCACTGCCACTAGAGTACAATCTCCACAGAGCCTGTTCAAAACTCTCTCAGAATGCGTCAGTCCGGAATTGTTAAAACTCATCTCCAATTTCCTATGAAGTGAAAACATGACCACAACACTGGTATTAGCACAAACACATTCATTTATTCATCAAAGGGATGATCCTAATCAAATCAACACTTTGAAATGTGTGTGATCGAAGTAATGGAATATAATAAAACAACAACAACAAAGCAGTACAGAGATTTGCTCATTGAACTGAGCTTGTTCCTTCTCACAGCTAATTCTTGTCCAAGGGATGATGGAATTTTTATTCTACTTTTTCGTAGGTCCGAGTACAGGTGACATTGTTCATAACGCATTCCTAGAAGACAACAACAAACGGTAACTAGGTTGGTCTTGTCGCTGAATGACAGAAGCAGTAATAAACTGTCAGAGACGGAGTCTTAGAAAGCACTGCAAATCTAGCTCGTACCATGAAGGGCTTTCATTTCAGAATTCCCGAGTTCGAGAGGAGCCAGACCTGTTGTATTGGTTCTAGTATTGAGTCACTGCTATTCGCTCCTGTCAAGATGGTATGAACAGTGATATCAACCGCTGTCTGGGCCTGGGCCATCCCACGACAAGTTACGAATCGGTGCATTGTGATTTTCAGAAGTAGATCGCTAGGCATTTCTCCTTCATCCATCTGAGTCTGGGAGCTCTGCCGTCAATCTGTTCAGCAGCATCGCCACACCCAAACGTCACTGACAGAGGGGTGGTGACTGCAATGAGGCGCACTCCCCAGGAATTGCATCCTAGCTTCCTGCGTGGAAAGTGACAATGGTGCCTGCCACCAACCCAGTAAGTCACTGAGCAGAGGATCTAATTATTCATGGGCCCTGAAAACCACTTTCCCATTTTAAAGAAGTGGAAAAGGCATGCCCATAATGCGAGCAGCAGAGCACTGGAACTCCAGCTACATTCTGGTCCCATCAGGTTAACTCCTTGTCCCCCACTTTTTAAAAAAAAGTGCTGCAGTGTTCCAGTAACTTGTTGGCAGTTTTCTTTCCTGGTCTATCCTTCTGTTTATGATCAATGATATAGACGAGATGTGTAAACTATATATGCCAAGAAGCTGCCCAATAAGACATGCCATTGCGACTTACCACCACTAATTTTCCATTCTCCAGTTTTCTTGTTATTGTGCTCTGCTTCCCATCCCAATCCTGGTGTTGGACCAAGGCACCATCTGCGAAGTCGCAGACAGTCTGCAAAAGTAAAATAGACTTTTTAACTCTTCCAAAGGCCATGCCTGGCAGCCTTTTCCTGAATCACAACTTCCTGAATCAACATCGTATTTTCTCCCTTCTGGATCTATTTTATTAGCACACACCGATCTTATACATATACTTTCTGGTTTCTCAATCCAGATGTGCACAAAAGATGCTGCTCCTTAAAGCATCTTTTTATTAAAGAAACGAAGTTATGAAGCTGGTCCCTCCACTTTGTGAAAACCCAATTCATAAAAATAACTCCAGCTCTCTTCATTGAGTTCTTGCCTGTACACAGTAAGAATGTTATTATCGGTTTTAATGTTTTATATATAATGTTAATATATTATATAAAACATTATAATGTCTTAATGTTATTATATCACCTATTATTCTAGAGGCGCCCTGTCAGGTGGTCCTGTCAGGTGAGTGCTAATCAGCTAACCACAAGGTTGGTAGTTTGAATCGACCAGTCCCTCTGAGGTAGAAAGAGGAAGCCACCTGCTCCCACAAAGATTTATAGCCTCGAGGGTTAGTTTGTTTTGTTTTGTTTTATTCCCCTTGTTTTTTTCCCCCCCTTTGGGACCATTCCAGAAGCTTCTATGCCCGCATGACATAAGTTATGACTGACCTGAGTTTTTCTGCCATCAGCTGTGGTTTCTTCAAACTTTTCTCCCAAGTTACAAGAAAACTGTGTGGTTTTCAAAGTGCTCTCCGTTTTCACGGTGAGGGTTTTGCCATCACAAGTGATGATACAGTCGGGCTTGGCCATTGCGCCCATTTTTCGAAGAGCCATTCCCACTCCTGTAGAACATCGTTAAACAAGAAAACCAAAGTTATAGTTTACATAGTAAAACCAGTCATCTAAGTATGATTATGATGCCTAATTTTGCTGGTTCCCTTTAGCAGGAACTACTGGAAATGTGTTTGGGGGGGGGGGTGTCTATGTGCAAGTCCACTGCATATATTGGCTCATGTCTGTCTAGTGACAGCACTCAGAGGAAGACATCATTATCTCTGCTAAACTGATGAAAATCTGAGGGCGAATGACTTGCCGAGTTAAGAAATGATGGGACTGGGAATCAAACAGTACAACACTTAGCCCGGGCTCTCCATGCCATGCTAACGTAAGCACTACACAGACCTCTCACATGTATTTCTGCAATGCAGTTGATGGAAGGGAGAAATGAAGTATTTGGAACTGCAAATTCAAGTGCTTGCTTGGTGTTTTTTCTAGACAGTGGGTTCTGCCAACCATTCATTTTAGGCTTGCTATAACTCTTGCACAGAACTTGCTACGAAAAAGGCGCTTGATGAACACTTGGTAAATGAGGTATCCAAAAGAGCAATCAAGCCTGAGACATTCAAACAGTACAGTGGTCTTACAAGTGGTCTTAACACAGCACAGTGGCAATAAAAGGCAGGGGCGGAGGCGGCAAGAACATTATCAGCAAGGCAGGGGCGGAGGCGGCAAGAACATTATCAGCAAGAGTAGAAAATATTTCATAGCTCTATAATGACTTCATTACTCTATGGATAAAATAGTTCATTTATAATTCCTCTTATAAGAAACCTTGGAAATAGGCCAACATCCATTTCACTGATGAACTGAGAGGACTTCATATAACCAGAGCAGAAGAATCAGCATAAAAACAATCTCCTTCAAGACTTCCAATTCCCCGAGAACCTTCCCTTTTGCCAATTCAGGGTTGGTGCTTTGTGCTGGCAGCTGAGTCATTGACTCTCACTTTGAACAAACAGATGGGCTCTGTTCTTCTCATAGCTCAATAAACTGAAGTGTGACAACCTTTGTAACTCTAAAATCTAGGAAAGAAATCGTTCCACTCTCAACACACACACACACACACACACACACACACACTTTCAATAAAGAAAGAAGGTTCTCTATTTGGACCTCAAAATCTTGCCTAGACACAAATGTATTTCTTTAAAGGGCTTCAAAAATTTGTACAGAACTAAAAGATCACGGACCTTTTGAAGCTCACTTGGCCAAGGTATGATGAAAGTCATCCTGATCATTTGTCATTGAAGGGGAAAAAAACAGCTTGTTATTTTGCCAAATGTATGGTAGGTACACAGATTCAACACAGAACTGGCCTCAGCACTGCATGGTCCTTGATAGAGATTAGTCAAGGAAGGTTTCCAAGGTAGAACAAGGCCTATGCTTCCCCCAATAATGGGATTTTATATAAAGTGACTTTGAGAACCCCAGAGAGGGGGGGTGGTAACTCCCTTGGGTGAGATAGGGGCTTCTAGAAGGTCCCTGTCTCTGTAATCAAGGCATTTCCAAATGAGACCAATGCGATGCTACTTCACCCTACTTCCTGGTGGCCTCTGACAAACGTCCATTTTTTGCCACACCCAGCCTCTCGACCAGCATTCATTCCTTATCACTGGCATTAGAAACGGCAATGAGAATAATATTAATAATAAAATCAAACACTGAATGACAGAGCAAGCTTCTCTCCGCTCCTTTCAAGGAAAACAAGTGCCCTGGGCAGCGCCACGCCCATCTTGCAGGCTGTTAATAGTATGGCGTTTACCTAATTTAAGACTGCAAGAGAGGGTTTTTCCAATCAAGCACCCGGCTCCCCATCCTCCAGACGCTGAGGCCAGGGCAGCAGAGACCACCCACGCACATTCGCTCCACACACCAGCCGAAGGTCAGCACGCTCAGTGCCACACCTCTGCACCCCGCGAGGATGCCCAGCTCACCACTCGGGACTAACCCAGCCCCAAAGGCCTCGCTCCCCCAGAGAACGAGGGCAGGCAGGGGAGCCGGGAGAGGGGCGATGGCGGAGATAAAGGCTATAGCTGCAGTCTGGCTCACACACGCCCAGGGCTTTTGCGGGAACCCAGACCCTCCAGGGAACCAGGCCTGGCACCGCGTGCGGGAGCCGAGGGCGGGGCCGCGCGCCATCGAGGAACAAAAGCTGCTGCAGGCTGGGCGTGGGGCTGGGTGGATGGCTCGGGCGCTGCCCCGAAGGATCTGGATGCGGTTAGTAGCTGGAGGGACAGGACCGTGGGGAGGCTCCGGGGCTGGGGGCGGGGAGGGGGACTGCGGAGTGGGGAAGGGAGAGAAGTGGGGAAACTAAGAGGGCTCCAGGGAGAAGGCGGGAAGAAATGACGCGTGGGGTGGCGAGTGAGCGTGCGAAAGGACAGGATGCGGTGCAGGGAGGCCGCCGGACCACGAGGCGCACCATCTCCGGGGCCCCAGGTTGGGTAGGAGCGCACGCGGCTCGGCGGATGCACGGCGCGCTCGGCCCGCGGCCGCGTGGCGAGGAAGAGGGTGGGGGGGACGTGCGGCCCCGGGACGCAGATGGGGCGGACGGACTGACGGCCACGAGGCCGGCGCCGCGTGTCTCACCTAGTTCCTTCATGTATTCATCAAAGCCTTTGCTGTCTACCAGGCGCCATCTTCCCACGAACTGCTCAAGGGTGGCCATGGTGGGCGAGGACGAGCAGGCGAGCGGAGAAGGTAGAAGAGAGCGTGGCGGGCGAGCGCGGTGTGCGGGCGCCCAGCGCCACGGCGGCTTTATAGAGACGGCGCGCGCCGGGCGGCACCCGACAGCCAATAGGAGGCGCGCCTCGCCCGGCCCCCGCCCCGCCCCCGGCGCGCCCCCGGGCTCCCCCCTCCCCTCGCCGGGAGTCAGGAGATGCGAACCGGCTCCACCTGCCCGCGGATGCAGGCCTCCGAGGGCGCCGCCTGCAAGCGGGGACTCGCCCAGCGCGCCCCACGCGTCCCCAGACGCCGGCCCCGGCACGTTCTGGCGCCTCTGCACCCACAGGAAGCCAAAGGGGACCCCCGGGGGGGCCCCCCCGCCCCGCCCTTTTCCTCTTGGGTCCCGCGCTTTTACAGCCGCGCGGCCAGAAAATCTATTAGCCTTCTCCAGACTGGCAGCAGGAATTAATTGATCGATTGATTGAGAAACTGCTTGGCCACGCTAACCCGCATCACACACCCTCCTGAGAGAGCCTGACCTCTCCAGTTTCAAGCCACCCCGAAGGAACCCATCACCAATCCCATTAGAACCTCATGGTAGGTAACAGGGGGTGTATGGGGTCGGGTGCCATGTTTCAGGAAACTAGCTTCTAAGCTAACACTGGGTAGGAGGTTTCCTCGCAGGTGACTGTCATTGCTATGAAAGATCAGGGATTTTTTTCTTATTTTTATACTCATTGCCAGGAGAGTGAGTCCCAAGTTTCTTTCTGTCCTCTTTTAGCATCAAGCCCCAGACATCAGATTTCAGCATGTTTAATCATAATAATACTCTGCAGGGGTGTGGGGAACATTAGACCTGTGAAAGGTGACACTTCACAGTATCTTCCAGGTCCCTGTGGGGGTGAGGAGATGGTCACCCTGAGAAGAGGGCCTCTGGTAGGAAATAATGCTCATTTAATTCGGTGCCTACTCCTTTGTTCTAAAGGGCGGTGATGGGTCAAGGGTAGAATCCCAGACGCTGCCAATGTGCCAATGACAATGCCACCCGATCCCTCCCTCAGTGGAGGTTAACGTACTACTAAGAGGCGGACCATGCTTCAGCCCAGTTGCCAGACTAAGACCTCCTTGGGAGAGTATGTGCTGATCTACTTCTGAAAATCAGCCAGTCTGATCCCTCTAGGCATGGGTTGCCGTGAATCAGGAGCCAGTAACAGTGACAGTCATGCTGCGCCTCCTACACGCCTTAGACCCACTAGCTCTTCCAGTTTGCTGGTTGCAGTTGAGTCAACGTCCACGTGGGTCAGAGTAGAACTGTTCACCTCGGCGTTTCCAACAGCAGTCCAGCAGGCCTGCCTTCCAACAGTGGATGGACGCCCTTTGGGTTAAACTGCTCACCCCACACAGAGTCTCCCCATTGGCTCCCATCATGCCAGTTTTTCAAAAGAGGAAGATGAGGAAATGACTTTGGTTAAGTCACACAGTGCAGGAACCAGAAGTCACATCCAGGTTCTTGTCAGGTGAAATTGTCCCATCTGGGTGAGTGGAGGTCACAAGCCACTTACAGCATACCGAGAGAGTGACACTTCTATTATCTTTTTCTTTGTCTTCTATTATCTTTAATCAAGGTGAGATCTGAGGTCAATTTGTTGTCCCTTGTATGCCTCGAGTATTGCTTACCAGGAAATACATCCCTTTCTAAGTCCTGACCATGAGTGTAGTTTCAGCTCAGACTTCCTCCTTGTGATACCGTCTTTGGTCCAAATATGCCTCACGCCCTGCCCTTGTGCTCTTGAGGGTAAGACTCACCCCCAAGGCTCTGCTTCTCTGTAAAAGCCGGAGTTCTGAGGGCGGCTGAGTGCCCTTGTCTCTGAACTTGCAAGTGCTTTCCAATCACCCAACTCAGCCCACCATCCCTGTGTCCTAGAGAGGCAGCATGGTGTCTTGGGACTCTTGGTCTTCCGGTGTGTTGTAGAATATGGTAATAATAGCCTGGCTCCGCAGCCCTGGAATATGAATCCTTAGGTTATTATAGTCAAGTCTGTTCCTGAAATAGCAAAAGGAGAAAAGCCTATACTAGATGGGTAGATATACCAGCTACTACATAGAAGAACTCGTTTTTAAGCTCAAACTGGAGGGGTGGGAGGGGTGGAGATGGATACCTCACACTTAATTTTTAAACCCACTCTTGAATGTAATGAGGGAAAATAGTCTTTTGTATGTGTGTGTGGTGAAAATGAACAAATATGCAAAGCAGAGCCAAAGATGGGCCAAAATACCTATTACTATGACTCTGTTACTGTGGGCAATACATTTATTTAATCCCTTCTGTCCTCAGATGCCTCATCTTTAAAAAATAAAGATAATAGAATATATATATATATATATATATATATGGTAGTTACATAATCCGTTGTCAATTTGGGACTTGAAAGGATTAAGAGTAAAGGTTGGAATCTAGTCTGTCAATCAGATCATAGCCAATTGCCAATTGAGGCCTCTGTGTGGGCTTGACCTTCTCCTGAGAATTCTGGGAACTCCTATATTTTCCTCCTTGGAGGTGGGAGACACTTTCTCTCTCTACTCACTCTATGAGAAACGCTCTACTGACAAGACACATGGCACTATGCCCTGGAAGCTAGAGAAGCCACATGGACCTCCCCTGATGTAACCAGACCTCCGGAGCCAGAGAAGCCATGTAGAGACCCCTGCCAGTGCTGACATGCTTACAGTGCCACTGGATCCACAAGACTTCCAACCCCCTGGTCTGTGATCTTCCTGTATTCAGCATCATAACATGCACTTCATGAGTCTGAAAAGGATTTTATAGATTGGTATTAGGCATAGGGGCTAATATTGGACTTACGGATTTGATCTGGACTGGTCTGGGACGTTTTCTCAATATTCAATTGCTCTTGTATATAACCGCTTTCTTGGCCTTTAGGAGTGTTTTCCAGTCCAGTCTGCTGGGGCACCCTGGCCCCAAAGTCCACCTTCAGCGTTCCCTGGGGACCTCGCCACTCCATTCCCTTGCTGTTCTGTTGCACCCCCTTAGTGTTTTGCCTCAGTGTGGCAGGATCAATTCGGGTGCAAAACTGCTTTCTTATATACATATGAGTGTCTATGAATTTGTTTCTCTAGTCTACCACAACGTAGTAGACTGGAGTAGATTATTTCTAATGTCCTTTCAAGCCCTAGTATTCAGATTTTCTTCTTCTCGTAGGAAGAATGATAATGGATTCAACATCTAAAAGACACTAATAACCAGTGTTTGAGGGTACAAAAACATGGCCCCAAATCAAAAATATAAATGAAGGAGAACATTTTTGAAGTCTGAAAGAAGACAGAGACAAGACAAAGATGAAGACCATCAGCCATTATCGGCCGCAAACCATTGCAGCACAGTCTCAAATGGGGCTACAGAAGCAGGAAGAGGCCATGATTTTGACAGGTACTTTGTTAGAGTTCACAAGAGTCCCTCGGTGCTCTTTAACCGAGGCAGCCAGGGCAAGACTAATGACCAGTGACCTCAGTAAGGTGATCTCCATCTAAGACGTCTCCAGACAAGCCCTGAAGGGGAACTGCCGCTCCCCAGAGTGTTGAGAAGAGTGGAGGTAATCTACTTTCCACTGTACTCTGCCTGAGTGCCAGACTCTTCACTTAGCAGTTTAATGGGAAGAAGGAATTCAATGGAGGCTCACTCCACGTGGGGTCTCTGCAAACAGATTTGGGGCTTCCAATGTTATCCATACCTTTTGCTGAGTAGGCACTCAGAATTTAAACCCTGATACACTGCCATACCGCATAACTAAAATCTAGTTCTAGGCTAATTAGCTTGAACCAGGTAGGAAGTGTGAAACCCCAAAGTACGAAGACATATCTGATTAGAACCTTGTATGACTTTCTGTATGGGATTGTTGAGAGCTTCCTCATTGGCAAAAGGGAGGAGCATTGTCAATGATCGCTATTAGTGGCCTGTAAACAAGAGTTGTATCCTAACTTATCCTTGCAGACACGAGCAACTGTTCTAAATCATTTATTTCAGTAGCAGCACGGAGGCAGTCTAGTCACATTATGTCTCCATGGTGAAGTGTCATGTTGTCAGGGTCATGAAGGCAGTTCTACCTCACAGCAATCTTGTGTGCTATTCTTACCATTGTTGCTGTACTTGACCCTATTGTTATAGCCAGTAGATCAGTCTGTCTCACTGAGAGTCTTCCTCCTTCTTGATGATCCTCTGCATTCCCGAGCATCATGTCCCTCTCCAGGGACTCAGCGCTCCTGATAACACATGCGATGTACATGAGATGACGTCTAGCCATCCTCACTCCAAGGAGCATTCTGGCTGTGCTTCTCTGATAGATCGCTCACTCTTTGGGCAGCCCAGGGTATATTCAGTATTCTTCACCAGCACTGCAATTCAAATGGTTCACTTCTCCAGTTGTCCTTAGTCATTGCCCAGCTGCTGCATTCCTATGAGGCAAGTACAATAGCATGACTTGCGTCAGGTGTCCTGCAGTTCTTAAGGCGTCAGGTGTCCTGCAGTTCTTAAGGTGACATTTTTGTTGTTTAAATACTTTAGATATCTTTTGCCAGCAGATAACACAGCCCAACCAAAAAAAACCAAACAAAACTTTTTTTCCCTTGGTGTCTTGGTTTTAGGACTATTCCTGGGGTTATTTAAAACTCTGGTTTAGAAAATTGTTCTAGTTTCTCAGATGGAGTGTTCCACTATATTTTTTGGCTATTAAGTGATACTAATTGATTAATTTATCACCCTAGTTTTAAATATTAGAAGATATCAGGCTCACAAATGATAGAAGACCAAAAAGGTAAGATACATTTGAAAAAGAATTAGGTATTAAGGAATTTCCCAGAGAAGCTACATAGGCACCCATGGTGGCTAGTTGGTTACACTTCAGCTGCCAATCATAAGGACCGTGTTTCCAACACACCAGTCACCCTGCGGCCTTGACAAGACTTAAAGATCTGGAAATCCAAAGAGTCCGTTCTTCCCTGTCCTGTAGGGTCACTATGAATTAGAACCGATTCACCGTCAGTG